GCAAGAGAGTCTTGGGAGGAAGGGCTGTGGTAGAGGGGTGGAGTGGATTTCTAGGTATAGAAGAGACAGAATGGGATGATGGGAAGGGATGCAGCATGCTAGTGTGGCGTCCAAGGGGTTAAAGCAAGTGCTGAGGAGGCGATACAACACCTAATCATCGCCTGTGCAATGTCTGAAAAACAATCCGAGGGTGGATTACTTTTCAGAGACGTGGCAGTCCCTGCCGCATACGTGAACGAGCCCTTCGTCCATTGACACTTCCCTCCAGCTCTCTAACTAAAAGTCCGCATCTCAGTATGGACAAGGAGCTGGAAGAAGAGTCTGCAGGAGCCTGGAATTACAACCACCGTCCACTGGTCGTGATTGAAAAGTTGCGCGGGTTCTTTCGCCAAAAAATAAAAACATTCTTTGGGTGCATTTCTCATTTTATTTGCAGTAGCCTTTAACTCTCCGGCGCCGATGGTACGCAAATATACAGCCTCCGGGTGGTTGGGCCTTGAAGCTGCATATTTGTGTACCCAATGTAAGCAAACGTGCATGCTCCCGGCACATACACCGTCGCCTCACGGAAAGGTCCCGATCGCAAGTAGCTTTCCGATCATGTGACCGCTGTGACAGCCAATCACGGTGGTCGCATAACCCTAAACTCCACCTCCCGATGTCACAAACCCCTTAAAAGGGCTGGTTTCTGCGCTACTTTGATGCGACTTTCATGCAACGTGTGCACCATAGACAGCAGTGTAAACTCTCAAAAGTCGCTTGTTAATGTAATTTGTAATCAACGCGACTGCAACGCAATGCTGCTATTAACAAAACAAAAAAAGAACGAAAGGAAGGAAAGGAAAGGGAGGGAAGGAAGAAAAGGGAAGGAAGGGAATTGGAAGGAAAAAGGAAGGAAGGAATTGGAAGGAAGGAATTGGAAGGAAGGAATTGGAAGGAAGGAATTGGAAGGAAGGAATTGGAAGGAAGGAAAGGGAGGGAAGGAAGGAAAGGGAGGGAAGGGAAGGAAGGAAAGGGAGGGAAGGAAGGAAGGAAGGGAAGGAAGGAAGGAAGGAAGGAAAGGGAGGGAAGGAAGGAAGGAAGGAAAGGGAGGGAAGGAAGGAAGGAAAGGGAGGGAAGGAAGGAAGGAAGGAAAGGAGGGAAGGAAGGAAGGAAAGGGAGGGAAGGAAGGAAGGAAAGGGAGGGAAGGAAAGGAAAGGAAGGAAGGAAAGGGAGGGAAGGAAGGAAGGAAAGGGAGGGAAGGAAGGAAGGAAAGGGAGGGAAGGAAGGAAGGAAAGGGAGGGAAGGAAGGAAGGAAAGGGAGGGAAGGAAGGAAGGAAAGGGAGGGAAGGAAGGAAGAAAAGGGGAGGGGGGGGGAAGAAGGGAAGGGAAGGGGAAAAGGGAAGGAAGGAAGAAAAGGGAAGGAAGGAAGGAAGGAAGGAAAGGGAAAGGGAAGGAAGGAAAAGGGAAGGAAGGAAGAAAAGGGAAGGAAGGAAGAAAAGGGAAGGAAGGAAGGAAGAAAAGGAAAGGGAAGGAAGAAAGGGAAGGAAAGGGAGGGAAGGAAAAAGGGAGGGAAGGAAGGAAAGGGAAGGGAAGGAAGGGAAAGGGAGGGAAGGGAAGGAAGGAAGGAAGGAAGGAAGGAATTGGAAGGAAGGAAAGGGAAGGAAGGAAAGGGAAGGAAAGGAAAAGGGAAGGAAGGGAAGGAAGGAAGGAAGGAAGGAAAGGAAGGAAGGGAAAGGGAAGGAAGGAAGGAAGGAAGGAAAGGGAAGGAAGGAAAGGGAAGGAAGGAAGGGAAGGAAGGAAGGAAGGAAAGGGAAGGAAGGAAAGGGAAGGAAGGAAAGGGAAGGAAGGAAAGGGAAGGAAGGAAAGGGAAGGAAGGGAAGGAAGAACGGAATTCGCAATTCGTAGGGACTTCGCTGCTGCTCAGACACCCACCCCACTTAGCACTCCTCACACAATAACCCCCTCAACACTTTGCTCCCTTGACCTCACTACCACCGAAGAGGTCACTAAGATTTTCCCAGAATCCCGCCTCACCACCTGCCCCCTGGACCCTGTCCCCTCAACTCCTGCGGTCCCCCTCCTCTTCCATCCTATGCTCCCTCACTCACATCTTCAATCTCTCACTCTCCACCAGTACCTTCCCCTCCCCTCTAAAGCATGTGCACATCACCCCAATACTTAAGAAACCCTCCCTGGACCCCTTCGACCTGAACAACCTAAGACCCATCTCCCTGCTGCCATTTATATCCAAACTCCTTGAACACTTAGTCTACAATCGGCTGAGCTCCCACCTCACCGACAACAACCTTCTCGACCCTTTACATTCCAGCTTCCGCCCACTACACTCCACCGAAACCGCCTTACTCAAACTCACCAATGACCTACTAACCGCCAAAACCAATGGCCACTATACTATACTCCTACTACTCGACCTCTCTGCGGCTTTTGACACGGTTGACCACCCCCTCCTCCTCAAAAAACTGCACTCTCTTGGCCTCAGAGACTCCGCTCTCTTCTGGTTCTCCTATCTATCGCAGCGCTCCTTCAGTGTTACCTATAACTCTGCCACCTCCCCCTTACTCCCCTCTCTGTCAGGGTCCCTCAAGGCTCTGTCCTCGGACCCCTTCTCTTCTCCATCTACACCTCCTCCCTTGGCCAATTGATAAACTCCCACGGCTTCAACTACCACCTCTATGCCGACGACACACAAATCTATCTTTCTACCCCCCACCTCACCCCCTCAGTCTCCAATCGCATCACCAGCCTACTGAACGACATATCAGACTGGATGTCACTCCACTTCTTCAAACTCAAAAATTCCAAAACTGAGCTTCTAGTATTCCCCCCAGCCTGTGCCCCCTCCAGACTTCTCCATCAAGATCAACACTACCATCAGTCCCTCCCCTCACGCCAGGGTACTAAGTGTAATCCTAGACTCCCATCTGTCCTTTCAGCCCCAGGTCCATTCGCTGACAAACTCATGTAGACTTCACCTCCACAACATCTCCAAGATATGACCGTTCCTAACCCCGGAAACCACTAAGCTACTTATTCCCTCCCTTATTATATCACGCCTTGACTACTGTAACTCCCTCCTCATTGGCCTTCCTCATCGCAGGCTATCCCCACTCCAGTCTATCAAGAATGCTGCTGCCAGACTCATTCACCTTCCTAACCGCTCTGTATCCGCCACCCCTCTCTGCCAATCCCTCCACTGACCTCTATTCAGTGTCCTCCACCCCTCTCTGCCAATCCCTCCACTGACCTCCATTCAGTGTCCTCCACCCCTCTCTGCCAATCCCCACTGACCTCCATCCCTCTCTGCCAATCCTTCCACTGACCTCCACTCAGTGTCCTCCATCCCTCTCTGCCAATCCCTCTACTGGCTTCCAATTGCCCAGCAGATAAAATTCAAAACACTAACACTGACGTATAAAGCCATTCATAACACTGCCCCAAACTACATCACCAACCTTGTCTCTAAATACCACCTAAACTGTAATCTCCGCTCCTCGCAAGACCTCCTACTCTCTAGCTCCTTTGTCTCCTCCTCACATGCTTGTCTCCAGGATTTCTCACGGGCTTCACCCATCCTTTGGAACTCCCTACCCCAAGCTATCAGGCTATCGCCTACTCTGCTCACTTTTAGGCGCACTATGAAAACTCATCTCTTCAGGGAAGCCTACCACGACCCCGGCTAACTACTGGAATCCCCTACTCTTCCTACCACTCCATCCCCTACTCTTCCTACCACTCCATCCCCTACTCTTCCTACCACTCCATCCCCCACAGCTAATTACCTCTTGTACCAATATCCCCTCCCTCCTAGATTGTAAGCTCCAAGGATCAGGCCCTCCTAACCCTTTTGTATTGAACTGTATTGTCTTCCTCCATAATGTAAAGCGCTGAGCAAACTGTCGGCGCCATATAAGTCCTGTATAATATAAGGAAAGAAAGAGAAAGAAAGAAAAAAAGGTGAACACTGTAAAGAAGTGACATCTTGCTTACTACTATTCATGTGATTACCGATTGGCCAATCAGTGATCACATGAATCGGGACCTGAATCACACAAAGGTCCCGTACAGCGATGGGTGTTCCGACGTGTCCTCCGGTGCCAAGCTCTCCCAGGGAGTGCGCACAGACAATGGATGCAAGGGGACGTTTAGAAATGTCCACCCGCATCGGCAGCGCTCCCGTCCGGCCGTTTATGTACATGGGCTGGACGGGAAGAGGTTAAAGGCTACATCAACCTTTAGAGAAAATAAAATATTATTAATAATAATAATAATAATAATAATAATAAATGCGCCCACAGTTGGAGCAAAACATGTGTCAAGTGTTTCAAGTCAAAATACAGGCGCATTCAAAGCAGCACATCTGGGAAAGCCGCCGCGTCCCTCTCCAAGCACTGCAGCTTCATCCTCCAACAGCTACGTGACGGCTGTGTCCTGTATGGCGCAGGGGTTGGAGAATAAAAACCCGGCACGCGCGTGAGGAACACAGGCACCTGACACGTCCATATGTGCTCAACGCCAGAATCTGACACGGGGTGGCAGTACAGGAACAGAGGGGAGGTAGGAGACGTGGACTGGCTCAGTGCTTGTATCACAACCTCTACCACCGCAGGGAACCCTTAACCACTTCCCGACCGGCTGTTGCATATAAACGGCCGGGACGGTGGCAGTGCAGGGGCAGGTGGCAGTTTATAAACGGCCTCCCCGCACCCTGCTTGTGCGCGCTCCCTGGGACGCGATCCGGTGCCCGCTGTGTCCTCCGGACACAGTGAAACACCGATCGTCGGACGGGACCTCTGTACGAGGTCCCGATCATGTGATCACTGATTGGCCAATCAGTGATCACATGCAAAGTAGTAAGCATGATGTCACTTGTGACATTATTGCTTACTACGTGTGAAATCTGTGAATGATCACAGAGGTCACATGTACAGGGCTATTCACAACAGCCTTGTACCATGTGACAAGCTGTGACCAATCACAGCTCACTCTGTATTCCTCAATGACTGCAAGAATGCAGACAGAGAGAAAGAGAAATGATTGCTTTTACATCCTATATGGGTGTAAAAGCAATCAGTGTAAAAAAAAAAAAAAAAAAAAAAAAAAATCTTCATCACCCCCCACAAGTAGTGTAGAAGTATGTAGAAAAAAAATAAATAAAATAATTAATAAAATAAAATAAAATGTAAAAAAAAAATATTTAAATATTATAATTTTTTGGTTATAAACTAATTTGGATTTTTTTTTTTTTTTTTTTACTAAAAGATAACGGAATAAATTTTGGCCAAGATTTATGATGAAATATTATTTAATTGCAAAATTTAAAAAAAAAAAAAAAAACACTTTTTTTCAAATTTTTGGACTTTCATCATTTACATAGCAAAAAAAAAATAAAAATCCCAGCAGTGAATAAATACCACCAAAAATAAAGCTTTATCTGTCTCAAAAAAATGGTAAAAAATTAATTTGGGTACAGTGTTGGCATGACCGCGCAATTGTCATTCAAATTGTGTAGTGCTGAAAGCTGAAAATTGCCCTGGTCAGGAAGGGGGGGGAAAGTGTCCGGAACTGGAAGTGGTTAACACTTGGTTTTTGGGGGGGGGGGGGGGGGTGGAGCGGAACGCCATATGCTTTAAGGACTGCCGAGTTCAGGCCAACGACGGGTTAAAGCGTCTGAAGATGCGGAATTAGCATAGAAGAACATAAACAAAGAACCCCTACTAAGCTGGAAACATTTAATGAGCTCTCTCTCGATCCCACAAAATCACAGGGGTAATGAGCACGCAGCCCGACGGCGGTAAATTCGGCTAATCTTTCAGTAGACGAGCGCGGCGGACACCTCCGCGGCTCAGTGGAAAGTTGCATTTCCAGCTAGCAAATCGCGCGCAGTGAGCTAATGATCGGGCCTCGCGGCGGCGCAGGGGCGATGTGAGAGTGGGGGAGCACCGTTTCTTTGGTTTACTGCGCCCTCTGCTGGACAAGTGCAGAAGGAGGAATTTAAAGAGGAAGAGTTCCACTCACACTGTATAAAAAAAAAAAAATGAATAAAAATGTCAGCGGCTACAAAACCTGTAGCTGCTGACTTGCTTAAAAAAACAGCCACTTACCTGTCCCATCGATCCCGCGGTGTCACTCCCCAGCAGCCCGTTTCACCATGCCGTCTATGGTGTTCCTATGGGGCCCGTCAATCTTCAGTGTGGGCACCCGGTTGTGACTGCTTGCGGCTTCACAGCACGGGTGCCCACTGCGCGTGCTTGACAATGTGCTGCGCTTTGTGAATTAAGCCCCCGTCGTCTGGACCAGGTCCCAGAAGACTACGGGGAGGGAGGGCAGGAGGACAACTTCCGCTTCCGATCGCCTCTGGAGGTCAGGGGTAGGCAGCCCCCCTGAGAGCCGCAGGACTACAAGTTCCATCAAGCTCTGCAAGTCATAGCTGTAACTGTCAGTTTTGGTCATCTTTGCAATGCCTCATGGGAAATGTAGTTCCACAACAGCTAGAGAGCCGCAGGTTGCCTAACCCGATCGCCGCGGGAACTGTGGGAGCGGGTACCTGTCAATTTCGGGTACCCGCTCCCAAAGGTGCCAATCCTTAATGGGGAGCGGGGGAGACCAATCTTTGAAGCGGAACTTCTCCTTTTGGGTGGAGATCCTCTTTAACCCCTCGCCCTTCCAGAGGATTGTACCTGACCAGGCCAGTTTTTTTTGCGTAGTTATGGCGCTGTGTTACTTTGAACGATTGCCGTCGGTCATGCAAGGCTGTACATAAAAGGAAATTGAAGTCCATTTTTTTCACCACAAACAGACCTTTCTTTCAGTGGTGTTTGATAGTCTTTTTTGTTTATAGCTCAAAAAAAATAAAAAACCGCAGAGATGATAAATTTTGAAAAAAATAAATAAATAAAAAAATAAAATAAAATAAAATATAAAATATATATATATATATGAATTATATATAATATATATATATATAAAATAAAATAAATATTTTTTAATATAAATTATTAATATAAAATATATATATATCTATATATATATATATATAACAAATATAAATATATTTAAATATATATATTTATATTAATATAAAATAATAAATTTAGTATATATAATATTAATATATAAAATATAAATAATTATATTAAATAAATATATAAATATATATACATATTATATATATATATCATTTATTAATATAAACTTATGTATAAATTTATATATTAATATAAAAATATATAGAGTATATATATAAAATATATATATGTGCTATATATAATAATATATTTTAATATAAAATATGATTAATATAAAAAAGTATTCATATATATATATATATTATATATATATATTATATATATATATATATAAATATAAAAACACTTTTTTTACTTTTTGTGCTATAAAAACATATCCAATAAAAAAAAATATAATTTCTTCATAAATTTGATGCCAAATGTATTCTGCTCCGTGTCTTTGCTAAATAATATCCCAATACATGTAAATTAATTGGTTTACATGAAAGTTATAGCGTCTAAAAATGGTATAGATACTGGGATTTTTATTTATACTAGTAATGGCGGCGATCAACGACTTTATAGCGGGTAAGACTGTGGCGGACATTCTGACACTGGGGGGCGAAACTGACTAAAACTGCCACTGTTTCTACAAGCTCCAGTGACACCAATAACAGTGATCAGTGCTAAATAAAAACCGCTGGACACTGTACTAATGGCAACTGGGGCAGGAAGAGGTTATCAATTGGGGCGATAAAGGGGTTAACTGTGTGTTCTGTTGTGCTTACACTGTGTTACGGTTTTACCCAGGGTGACATGCTGCTGGTGCAGAGACTAGATAAAGCAGCATGTCCATGCTGGACAGACTGGAGAGGAGACCTGTGTTTTTTTATTCAGGTATACTATGGTCCTGATAACCATTGGCTTCACAGGATATGCGGGGGGGAGCGGTGCAAGACTGATGCTGCAGCAGTGTCAGGAGCCAGGTATTTGGCATGGGGGGGGTAAACATTTAGTGGGGAGGGAATGGCTATTTAAGGTACAAAACATTTTGACTTTTTAAACCACTTTGGTTTACACTGTTTAGCGTTTTTTTTTTTTGTTAGAGACACTGCTTTTTGGCCATTTTGGTGTGCCCCCCCCCCCCCACCCCCTAATCTCACATGTCTCAAAAGAACTGAAACTTCAAAGAATAGAGGAGCGTGTGATTCCAATCCGCAAACGTGGATCTAGCAGCAGCAATCACTAGGCCCGAGTACCGTCACATGATGAAAGGAATGATGTCACCGCTTTACACCGATGATGTAATGTGTACACAATAAAACCCGCTGAATGCTGTAAAAGCACCCCGTGATGTGCGTTTATTTACTAGACCCTAGATTGCTCTGCTGTGCTCAAAAAGGCTCCACCCATTATAACGAATGACCAATCGAAAGGTACAGGGGGGCATGGTTTTTTAGCACTGATCACTGTATTGGTGTCACTGGAGATGTCAGTGACACCACGTCAGTTTCCCTCAGTGTCAGAATGTCCGCTGCAGTCCCGCCATTACTATTAAAAAAAAAAATATCCCAGTATCTATAAACGCCATAACTTTTTTTTTTTATTAGCAAAGTCGTGTCGCAAAATACATTTTGGCCTAAATTTATGATGAAATTTGATTTTTTTATTTTTTTTACTGGACATGTTTAATAGCAAAAAGTCAAAAAACATTGTTATTTTTCTCAAAATTGGCATTTTTTTTATACAGTGCAAAAATAAAAACCGCACAGGCGATCGAATACCACTGAAAGAAAGCTCAATTTGTGGGAAAAAAGTACGGAAATTTAATTTGGGTGCAGGCGTTGCATGACCGCGCAACTGTCAGTTAAAGTAACGCAACGCCGTAACGCAATATATGGCCTGGTCAGGATGGGGGGGGGGGGGGGTTTCCTCTGGAGGGGGAGGGGTTTTTGAATAAATCTACACTGGGAAACTTGTGGGACTCTCATTCTTTGCACATCGCAAACTTGGTAACCCACCCTTGTCGAGGGACTGACCTGTTCTAATACTGTGATGAAATGGAACAGACAAATGGTTACCCCTTCCCCCTGGCAGTACTCGGGTCGTTGGTTTGAATCCCAACCACAGCACCACCTGCCTGGAGTTTTGCATGTTCTCCGTGTGCCTGTGTGGGTTTCCTCTGAGTACTCTGGTGTCCTCCCACACTCCAAAGACATGCTGGGAGGTTAATTGTCTCCTGTCTAAATTGGCCCTAATATGTGTATGTATGAATGTTAGGGACCTTTAATTGCGCGCCCCTTGAGGGTCGGGGACCTCAGATTGCGCGCCCCTTGAGGGTCGGGGACCTCAGATTGCGCGCCCCTTGAGGGTCGGGGACCTCAGATTGCGCGCCCCTTGAGGGTCGGGGACCTCAGATTGCGGCGCCCCTTGAGGGGTCGGGGACCTCAGATTGCGCGCCCCTTGAGGTCGGGGACCTCAGATTGCGCGCCCCTTGAGGGTCGGGGACCTCAGATTGCGCGCCCCTTGAGGGTCGGGGACCTCAGATTGCGCGCCCCTTGAGGGGTCGGGGACCTCAGATTGCGGCGCCCCTTGAGGGTCGGGGACCTCAGATTGCACGCCCCTTGAGGGTCGGGGACCTTCGATTGCACGCCCCTTGAGGGTCGGGGACCTTCGATTGCACGCCCCTTGAGGGTCGGGGACCTTAGATTGTACGCCCCTTGAGGGTTAGGGACCTCAGATTGTACACCCCTTGAGGGTCAGGGACCTCAGATTGTACACCCCTTGAGGGTCAGGGACCTTAGATTGTACACCCCTTGAGGGTTAGGGACCTTAGATTGTACGCCCCTTGAGGGTTAGGGACCTTAGATTGTACGCCCCTTGAGGGTTAGGGACCTCAGATTGTACAACCCCTTGAGGGTCAGGGACCTCAGATTGTACACCCCTTGAGGGTTAGGGACCTTAGATTGTACACCCCTTGAGGGTTAGGGACCTCAGATTGTACGCCCCTTGAGGGTCGGGGACCTCAGATTGTACGCCCCTTGAGGGTCGGGGGACCTTAGATTGTACGCCCCTTGAGGGTTAGGGACCTTAGATTGTACGCCCCTTGAGGGTTGCGTAAATTGACGGCGCTACAGAAGTAGCTGAAATAAACAAATAATAAAACAACAGAAGTGACTCCTACCGGGAGCGCCCGTACCTGTAGCATTATTTCGATGTCCTTTGTATCGCTTTACATACTGAGCCCCGTCACTGTGAGAGGAATTGAACAAATAGATGTCTTCGTCATTGTAGCTGGCGAGAAGTTCTGGAAGAAATTAAAAAGAACAGAGAAGATCAAAATGATTGTTTGGCCAATATCAGACCCTCAAGGGAGGCTAACCAAACCAAAATACAACCTGATTACAAAAAAAGTTGGGGCGCTGTGTCTACATAAAAAAAAAAAAAAAAAAAAGCCACGATTTGCAAATTTCAAAAACCAAGGCAAACCTCAAACAATAGGGTATAACAAAAAAAAAAAAAAAAAAAAAAAGTACCCGCGTCCGCACCAAGATGTATAGGGAAACAGCTGCTCAAGCCGCTTCATCAGGGGAAGTAACCTGATGAAGCTGCTTGGACAGTTGAAACGCGTTGAGATTTTGGGTGGGCCTTCAGAAATCCAATAAAGCCCAACGCCAGGCAACCAAATTTTTTTTTAACCCTTGCAGTAGGGCTGTGCAAGGGTTAGAAGATATATAATGAATAAAACAAGATGTATAAAGAAATAAACGCTCAAGAAGCTTCATTAGGGGGGGGGGGGGGGGGGGGGAGAACCTGATGAAGCTGCTTAGACAGCGAAAAGCGTAGAGAGTTTGAGTGGGCATTCAGAAATCACATAAAGCCCAACCCTGGACAAATAAAAAAAAAAAGCAAACTCACTCTTGCAGTGTGGGCTGTGCCCACATTGAGAGGGTTAGGTTAATTGCTTGTTTTTTTTTTGTTTTTTTTTTAAGGGGGGGAAGAAAAAAAAAAAAAAAAAAAAGGGGGTACACGTGTCTGCACCAAGATGTATAGGGAAATAGCTTCTCAAGCAGCTTCATCAGGGCAAGTAACCTGATGAAGCGGCTTGGACAGCAAAACGTGTTGCCCAACTCCAGGCAACCAATGTTTTCTTTAACCCTAGCAGTATAATGAAATAAAAAAAGATGTATAAAAAAATAAACGCTCAAGAAGCTTCATTAGGGGGAGGAACCTGATGAAGCTGCTTAGACAGCGAAACGCGTAGAGATTTTGGGTGTGTCTTTAGAAATCCAATAAAGCTTAACGCCAGGCAACCAAAGTTTTTTTTTTTTTTTTTTTTTTAACCCTTGCAGTATAATGAAATAATAAAACAAGATATATAAAAAGAAATAAACGCTCAAGAAGCTTCATTTAGGGGCGGAATACTGCTGAAGCTGATTAAACAGTGAAACGCATAGAGATTTTGGGTGGGCCTTCGGAAATCTAATAAAAGCCCAACGCCAGGCAGCAAGGGTTAGAAGATATAGAATGAAATAATAAAACAAGATGTATAAAGAAATACTCAAGAAGCTTCGTTAGGGGCAGTAACCTGATGAAGCTGCTTGGACAGCGAAACGCGTTGCCCAACTCCAGGCAACCAATGTTTTCTTTAACCCTAGCAGTATAATGAAATAATAAAAAAAGATGTATAAAAAAATAAACGCTCAAGAAGCTTCATTAGGGGGAGGAACCTGATGAAGCTGCTTAGACAGCGAAACGCGTAGAGATTTTGGGTGGGCCTTGAGAAATTGATTAAAGCCCAACTCTGGACGAATAAATACATAAATTAACTCTTGCGGTGTTGGCTGTGCCCACATTGAAAGGGGAAAATAAAAATTTTTTACTTAGCCAATCCTCTGCTCCACCCCACAGAGTTTGCACCCCCATGCCTACCGGTCTAGGGTCCTGAAATCATCAAGACCACAGCAGGGTCAGTAGTTCTGCTCTGGGCATGAGGACGTCAGGGACATTCAACGGTCAGATTGCAGGGGAATGCCGCCTGCCGGGGAGTGGAGGATCAGGAAAACGACGTCTCTTTATCCCCCCACGACAAAACGAGCAATTAACTCTTTCAATGCAGGCGCAGCCCCTACTGAAGGGGATCATTTGCCCGGAGTTGGGCTTTAAGTGAACTTGTAGTACTGCCAAACAGAAAACTAGTATGGAAAAAAAAAATTAAAAAAAAGACATCATAAGCAGCTACGGCATAAGCTATGGCAGGGGTGGGCAACTGTGGCCCTCCAGCTGTTGTAGAACTAGAAGTCCCCATGAGGCATTGCAAAACTGACAGTTACAAGCATGGCTCCTAAAGGCAGAGGTATGATGGGACTTGTAGTTCAATAGCTGGAGGGCCACAGTTGCCCACCCCCTGCCCTATGGCATGGGGGGGGGTTTGTGTAGGCCAAGAGGTGGGCAACCTGCTGTCCTCCAGCTGTTGTAGAACTACATATCCCACGAGGCATTGCAAAACTCGTAGTTGCAAGCATGACTCTACGTGTCCCATAAGGCATTACAAGACAGTTCCAATCATGTCTCCCACAGGCATTATGGGACTTGTAGTTCTACACCAATCAGGGCTCCCAGGGGCACGATGGGACTTGTAGTTCTACACCCATCGCAGCTCCCAGGGGCACGATGGGACCTGTAGTTCTACACCAATCGCGGCTCCCAGAGGCACGATGGGTCTTGTAGTTCTACACCCATCATGGCTCCCAGGGGCACGATGGGACTTGTAGTTCTACACCCAATCATGCAGCTCCCAGGGGCACGATGGGACCTGTAGTTTCTACACCCATCGCGGCTCCCAGAGGCACGATGGGTCTTGTAGTTCTACACCCATCATGGCTCCCAGAGGCACGATGGGTCTTGTAGTTCTACACCAATCGTGGCTCCCAGGGGCACGATGGGTCTTGTAGTTCTACACCAATCACGGCTCCCAGAGGCACGTTGGGACTTGCAGTTCTACACCAATCACGGCTCCCAGGGGCACGATGGGACTTGTAGTTCTACACCAATCACGGCTCCCAGAGGCACGTTGGGACTTGCAGTTCTACACCAATCACGGCTCCCAGGGGCACGATGGGACTTGTAGTTCTACACCAATCATGGCTCCCAGGGGCACGATGGGACTTGAAGTTCTAAACCAATCAGGGCTCCCAGGGGCACGATGGGACTTGTAGTTCTACACCAATCAGGGCTCCCAGGGGCACGATGGGACTTGAAGTTCTAAACCAATCATGGCTCCCAGGGGCACGATGGGACTTGTAGTTCTACACCCAATCAGGGCTCCCAGGGGCACGATGGGACTTGTAGTTCTACACCCATCGCGGCTCCCAGGGCACGATGGGACCTGTAGTTCTACACCCAATCGCGGCTCCCAGAGGCACGATGGGACCTGTAGTTCTACACCCATCGTGGCTCCCAGGGGCACGATGGGACTTGTAGTTCTACACCAATCGTGGCTCCAAGAGGCACGATGGGTCTTGTAGTTCTACACCCATCGTGGCTCCCAGGGGCACGATGGGACTTGTAGTTCTACACCAATCGTGGCTCCCAGGGGCACGATGGGTCTTGTAGTTCTACACCCATCATGGCTCCCAGCGGCACGATGGGACTTGTAGTTCTACACCAATCGTGGCTCCAAGAGGCACGATGGGTCTTGTGGTTCTACACCAATCGTGGCTCCCAGGGGCACGATGGGACTTGTAGTTCTACACCAATCGTGGCTCCAAGAGGCACAATGGGACTTACAGCTGGAGGTTGCCCACCCCTTGTTTACTCCTATGAAAAATATGGGTCCTAGGAGAACGAGAGAATTTCACGGGCTCAGGCAGCACACGGGAAGGCGGTTGGTAGTCAGAAGCCCTCCCCCGCCCCCCACGCTGTTCGGCACACAGGGTTAAAAATCGAAGCTCGCTCTCAGCGTCACGCCTCGACAAACACGCGGCAGGCGAGATGGATCTGCTTGGTAATTGGCATTCAGTGTGAATTAACAAGAGATCAATTCCATCCAGTGTTTTCACAGAAAACAGAGAGCTTGTTATTTTTCAGACACCCGGCTACAGTGCGGCGTCTTCTATTCCAGATTGTACGCCGAAGAAAGCGGGACGGCGGCCAAACCAACATGGCCACCGCCACCCAGGATTACTCACCGCTCTGTTTGTACCGCGCGCTACGATCACACGTAACCATCACATCTGCTGTGTGCAATATGGCGCAATATGAAGACGGCAGAAGAGACCACGGATAGGTTACACGGATCACAAATTTAACCCCTCAGACCCGGGTTTAGGGTCATGTGACCGCCGTCACGTGATCAGGAAAGGTCCCGATTGAAAGAGGAGATCGGGACCTTTTCATGACTACAGGACGTGTGCAGGGAGCGCGCTCTCAGCAAGTTTTTTTTTTTTTTTTTAATAGAACGCAAACGTGCGGCCACTCGGCGTCTAGGCCCAGACACTGGGAGGCCAGAGATTTGCGTTCGGCTGGCGCCAAGAGGTTAAAAAGCGATCGCTTCAAACCTACTGCAGGCAGACAAGGCATCTCAGAGGAGATTGTAGAAATCTCTGGGAGCCCCAAACCCCCCAAAAGAAGAGTCGGTGCAGAAATTGGCAATCTGCGTTTTTGTAACTGAATAGTCTGCGGCGGTCACCCGAGTTCTAAATTCACTACAAAGCGCGTCACTGAGCTGCAACAAGCGTGCGAGCGTCAGGGATTCCAACGCGTCATGCTGGTCCCAGTACAGAGGCTCATCCAGTAGTGAAGGAAGGGCCGGGGTGATCGCCTTCACATATGGGCCTCATAGGTCTGTGTAGCTCAGACTTACCTGTGCCATCATGGCTGTACACAAGACACGTGATATTGGCTTTTGCCTCGCTTGTTACCTGCAAAACAAACAAACAAACACAGTCCATCAGATGTGAGCAGAAATACCACTTAAAAAATTTTTTTTTAGAATCAGAAAAAAAAAAAAAAGTTTATCATAAATTTGATGATTGTGGGAATTCCATGTCAATAGCACCTGTAGAAATTTACTGAGAAAAATCGTGATGTGTTCATTACTCCATATATATATATATATACACACACAAAAAAAAAAAAAATATATATATATATATAAAATAAAATTATCTACATACATACATACATACTATATATACATACACACAAAAACAAGAAAATTATTTATATATTATATATATATATTTCTTTTTGTGTGTGTGTGTATATATATATATATATATATATATATATATATATATATATATATATATATATATGTGTGTTTTTTATATAGTTTATATATAGACACACACAAAAAAAGAAATATATATATATATATATATATATATATATATATAAATAATTTTCTTGTTTTTGTGTATGTATATATATATATATATATATATATATATATATATATATATATAATATATTATATATATATATATAATTTTATTATATATTTTTCTGTGTGTGTGCGTGTATATATACACACAAAATAAAAAAAAAAAAAAAAAAAAAAAAAAAAAAATATATAAAAAATAAAATATATATATATATATATATATATATATATACACACAAATATATACATATAATATATACATAACAAACACACACAAAAAAAAATAAAAATTATATATATATAATATACACATATATATATATATATATATATATATATATATACATACACACACACAAAAAAAAAAAAAAAAAAAAAAATATATATATATATATATATATATATATATATATATATATATATATATATATATATATATATATTATATAATAAATTATCTACATTTTACAAATGTAGCAAACAGGTAATTTTTCTCCTTCACTGATGTGCTTTGATGAGGCTGCACTGCTGGGCAACACTGACTGACGGCACTGCTGGGTGCAACTGCTGAGCAGCACTGATGGGCAGCACTGATGGGCACAGATCATCAGTGCCGATCTGTTCTGTGACCATTGCCGGTTATTGGCAGCACTCCCCTTGCGCTGTGACAGTGTGAGGAATGTGCCGGCGATAAATAGCAACTATATTTACTCGGTGATCTGCTGTGTCATTGGACACGGCTGGTCACGTGGTAAAAGGCCGCTGTGACTGGCCTTTTACCTCATCATGAGATCAGCTGTGTCCGCAGGGCACTGCAATCACGGAGATCACCGAGTGCGTGCCGCTGGGGGCACGCGGGAGGACGTCATAGGACGCCCCCCCAGAACTGACAACCGTGCTGTAGCGGTCATTCAGTTATAGCGCGTTGGCCAAGTGGTTACGTTATACCAAATCTCTCTCCTCACACCCACCAAGTGATGAGGGCAGAACTTCTTCAATACTCCATTATTCTCATTCTCATTGATTCTCCGCTGGTCATAGATCCTGGAAAGAGAAGAAAACTGGGTCAGGTATACATGAGGGTTTTTTTTTTTTTTCTGTAGTCACCAGATTGCAGATAGTCACGGGAACAGGTATTTTTCACAATTATCACACAGATATATCAAAATGCTTTTATTAGTATATATTGAATACATTTTTTTTCCATTTTTGAGGCATTTTGGATAAGAGTGGTATTTATTACTATTATAATAGTGGGTGTTGCTCCCCTTTTTTTAATTACATTACAGCGCCTGACGGGTAAAGGAGGAGATTTCCTATTGACCCGGCCTTTATATGGCTTACTCCTACCATCAGTGCTATTTACCGGGCCCGAGATGACATTTTGCAGGAAAACGTACGACCATCTGTCCGCCAACTGAAGCTCCGCAGAGGATGGGTGATGCAACAGGACAATGACCCAAAGCATACAAGTAATTCAACAAAACAATGGCTGCAACAGCACAGAATACGCCTTCTGGAGTGGCCCAGTCAGAGTCCTGACCTCAACCCCATTGAAATGCTGTGGTATGACCTTAAGAGAGCGATTCACACCAGACATCCCAAGAATACTGCTACACTGAAACAGTTTTGTGAAGAGGAGTGGTCCAAAATGACTCCAGATTGTTGTGCAGGTCTGATCTGCAACTACAGGAAACGTTTGGTTGAGGTTATTGCTGCCAAAGGAGGGTCAACCAGTTATTAAGTCCAAAGGTTCACATACTTTTTCCTCCCGTCACTGTGAATTTTTACATGTTATGTGCAATTAAACCATGGCAACATCGAATGTTTGTGTAGTATTATGTTCAGCAGACTGTGTTCTTCTATTGTTGTGACTTAGATGCCGTTCAGAGCACATTTTATGCCCAATTCATGCAAAACTCCACGTAATCCCAAGGGGTTCACATACTTTTTCTTGCAACTGTATACATACACATACACACAAAATTATATGTGTATGTATATATATATTTTTTTAAATATATTCTTCAGATTTCTTTTATAGGATATATAGGATATAAAAAAGTAATTTTAACATAATAATTAAATACATTCCAAAAATGTAGATTACATTTATTTTTTTTTTATATTTTTGTAATATTTCAATCATACATACATAATATATATATATATACACACACACACACAGGGGCAGACTGACCATTTGGAAACTCGGGCACTGCCCGGGGTCAGTAGGGGGTCCCATGAGGTGCCCCCCGATACCTTTTTCATAAGCTCTTTTAAGTTTGGGCAAAGACACGGGCCCCATGATCCCCTATCGCCCAGGGGCCCCATGAGTTGTCAGTCTGCTCCTATGCACACACACACACATACATATACACACATATATGTTGAAATGCGTTTTTTATATACTACATATTACAAAATATCTGAAACATGAAAAAAATACAATTACTCTACATTTTTGGTAAAATGTACTAACAAATGTGATAAAATTACTTTTTTTTTTATATGCTAAAAAAAGAAATCTGAAGGATTTAAAAAAAAAAAAAAAAAAAAAAAAAAAAAAATTATATATATATATATATATATATATATATATACATACAAATATTTTTCATGTATTTTGTAATATATACAAAATTAAAAAAAAAAAAAAAAAAACACATTTCTACATACAGTGATATATATATACACATACATATATACAGACACACACTGTATGTTGAAATGCGTTTTTTATATATTACATATTACAAAATATTTGAAAAAAAAAAAAAAAAAAATTTAATCTACATTTTTGGAATGTATTAACATATATTTTTTTTTACATACATTTGTGAACATTACTTTTTTATATGCTAAAAAAAAAAAAAAATTTGAATACATTAACAAGAAAGAATTTCTAAAAATATTTTTCATATATATTGTACTATATAAAAAACATATTTCAACATACAGTATGTAAATATATATTTTTTTTTTAATATGGCCAAAATTGTATTTACAATATATATGACAACAATATTTGGGAAGAATATTTTAAAAACATTTTTCTTCCATGTGGGAGGTACAGCCGTTCTGCACATCTGGGCCTGTCCCGGTAGGTTTACATCACCCAATAAGTGAAGTTTTGGTGACAACAAAGATTGGAGAACGAAATAAAAGCTCTCAATGCTCTTGTCCCAGATACACATCACACATGAAGAACAAAAGCAAGCTCTCACCTGACAAACTGGTCGCGGCCGCCCACTGCAAACTGGTACGTGTTCGCCGGATTGACATATATCGTGTACAGTCCAATCTTTTTGTCCTTCTCCTTGGTGACAACTAGTCTCCTGTGTGTGTGCAAAGAGAAGGCAAAGCAGGAAGATGCGTTAGACTCTGTAAGACGTTGCTTTGGTGTGATGACAGAGGGAGATTGGTACTTACGACGCAGGTCGGTCTTGCCGAAGGTCGATGGTGAACACTACAGCGTCCTCACCGGCGGACAGGAAAGTACACTGGGAGTCGGGTTCTAGGGCGAGCTGAGGAGGAGGCAAAATACACAGATAAAGACCTGTGACAACTCTGCGCAAATCATACAATTAGTGATTCCTCACCGTGTGATCATTATGTCAGCTATGACACCAACCAAAAAAAAAAAAAAAACTGCCACCTTCAGGCTGCAGTACCATCTGTTTAATGCTGTTATTTTCAGATACAATTACATGAAAAAAAAAAAAAAAAAAATTGATAACGTAACCATTTGAGTAGCAACCTGTGATACCCCTTCATGAGGCCATTTTTCAGTTTACAGTGATAATTATTGGGTCATGCCACACTGTTTCCAAATTAATGGTATAGTATTTCAACATGCAGTGTGTGTGTGTGTGTAAATAAATATATGTGTATATATATATATATATATATATATATATATATATATATATATATATATATATCTATCTATCTCTCTCTATCTCTATGCGTGTACATGTATATATGAGTGTAAAATATATATCTAATGTCTCTATATGTGTGTAAAAGATATATTTGAAATGCTACAATTTTGGCCATATTCAATATATTTTTTAAAATATATTTGTGTGTGTGTAAAAAAAAAAAATAATAAATATCTATCTCTATCTATCTATTATCTATATCTCTATATATATCTATCTTTTTTTTTTTTTTTTACACACACACAAATAAATATATTTTAGAATATATTGAATATGGCCAAAATTGTAGCATTTCAAATATATGTCAATATATTTGGGAAGAATATTTGTGAACTTTATTTCAAATATATTTTTCTTTCCTGCAAGCCGTGTCATCTGCCTGCTCAGAGGGGATCAGCGGAGAGATCCTCCCCCCGCTGAGCAAGCGGATAGGCTAAAAGGGTTCAATTCAATGATCACATGATCGGGACCTCGCACAGAGGTCTAATACAGAGATCTGTGTTCCAATCGCGGTGCCACGCATCTCCCAGGGAGTGCGCACAGGCAATGGATGCGGGAGACGTTTAGAAACGTCCACCCGCTTTGGCAGCGCTCCCGTCCGGCCGTTTATCGACATGGGCCAGACGGGAAGTGGTTAAAGAAAAAAAATTAACATTTTAATGAATTGTCATATATTTATGTGCATTTATCAGACTGACTGGCGTCCTGCTTTAAGAATTTAGTTGAGGACAAGTATTATCCTAAAAAAAAAAAAAAAACCCATACCAAAAAAAAAAATAAAATAAAAACACAAAAACGAAAAAAACAAAAACGAAAAACACAAAAACGAAAAAACACAAAAACGAAAAAACACAAAAACGAAAAACACAAAAACGAAAAACACAAAAACGAAAAACACAAAAACGAAAAACACAACGAAAACACACAAAACGAAAAACACAAAAAACAAAAACAAAAGAAACACAAAGAAAAACAAAGGAACAAAAACAAAGAAAAACAAGGAAACAAAAACAAAAGAAAAACAAAAACAAAGAAAAACAAAAACAAAAATACTTAAAAAGAAATCTGCATACCTTGTGAGAGGCTCCTTTGTGTTGCGCCACCCTCTTTGTATTCTTGCAGCATTGGGTGGCAGAGAGCTCAGCAACACGTACCTGCCCGTCGCGGGCACACATGGCAATCGTGGAGTCCCCGCTGTTGGGCAGGAATTTTGCCTGATGAGAAAGCGACAAAAAAGGTTAGAGAGACCTTCGAGGGAGACAGAGAGAGAGACATTCCTCTTACAAAGGGATAGGGTTTAGTCATTCGAAGTTCTCAAAAAAAGAGATCTGAGACACGTGTGAAGCCTGACACATTTGGTCAAAAGTAGAATATAAGTCACGCCCCAAAGCGAAGCTCTTTTTTGTTTTTAACTGGTCAAAAAAAGGCTGCATACAGTGATGTCTCCACCCAAAACCAACCTTTAATGCGTTTCATCCTTTTTGAGGAAGCCAGTAGTGGTGAAACGCGTTAACGGTTGGTTTTGGGTGGAGACATCACTATAGTGCAGCCTTTTTTTGACCAGTTAACAAAAAACAGCTAAGCTTTGGAGTGCGGCTTACTGCGAAACCGATCTTCGACGCGTTTCGCCACTGCTAACGTGCTCATAGGGATAGAAGACTTTCATCCTTTTTGAGCAAGCCAGTAGTGGTGAAAGTTCTTCTATCCCTATGAACAAACGCATCAAAGGTTGGTTTCAGATGGAGACATCAATGTATGCAGCCAAATTAAACACAGAAAGAAGAGCTAAGCTTTGGAGTGTTTGTGGTAGCCAGCACCCTGGTTGTCCATGTGGGGTGAAAGGCGCATATCTGGATTGGATCCTTGGGTTTGGGTATGTTTGTGGTAGCCAGCACCCTGGTTGTCCGTGTGGGGTGAAAGGCGCATATCTGGATTGGATCAATGGGTTTGGGTATGTTTGTGGTAGCCAGCACCCTGGTTGTCCGTGTGGGGTGAAAGGCGCATATCTGGATTGGATCAATGGGTTTGGGTATGTTTGTGGTAGCCAGCACCCTGGTTGTCCGTGTGGGGTGAAAGGCGCATATCTGGATTGGATCAATGGGTTTGGGTATGTTTGTGGTAGCCTGCACCCTGGTTGTCCGTGTGGGGTGAAAGGCACCTATCTGGATTGGATCAATGGGTTTGGGTATGTTTGTGGTAGCCAGCAACCTAGTTGTCCAAGTGGGGTGAAAGGTGCATATCTGGATTGGATCCACGGGTTTGATTATGTTTGTGGTAGCCAGCACCCTGGTTGTCCATGTGGGGTGGAAGGTGCATATCTGGATTGGATCCATGGGTTTGGGTAGGTTTGTGGTAGCCAGCACCCTGGTTGTCCATGTGGGGACAGGATTGCTAAAGATAAACTAGTCATGTGATGCTACAGTGTTGCTCCCTTGCTGGTTGACCCAACAAGATATTGAAGTCTCTTCCCACTCAATGGCAAAATTCTGCAGCATTTGGGCCAAGGAGGGAGCGATGCCATGGGAGCAGACGAGAGCTCTCTAATGTTTCTGTTGCTGGCGAGATTCTGCTAGCGTGACATGGCGCCTACACAGAGAACTGAATGGTCATCTAAAGCATAAAGCTCCACTTAGTAAGAAATGGGTCCTCAAAAAGACATATACAATAGAAGCCCAACAAGTTTCTAAGCATTTTTCACAACAAACTAAACCTGAACTATATGGCCAAAAGGTTTGTGACCACCACACCTACCAAAATATTTATTTTCCCCCCAACGAAGGGTCCTGCTCAAGTTACAGCATACAAAAGGTAGACAACCTTTAGAACCCCAGAAGAGCTGAAATTACAAAAACCATCATCCTTCTGCCTTTGGGAGTCATGCCTGTGGGCGTCAAGAGTTTTTCAATGTCTCATTCACAGCTGGAATGCCGAAGTTGCCTACCTCTTTCAGCCTTGTGGTCACAGAGGAAGGTCCTCTTCTGTCCCAGCATGACTGTGCCCCATGCACAAAGCCAACTACATACAAAATGGTTTGACCAGCTTGGTGGGGAGGAACTTTGAGTCTGCACAGGCGTGAGACTTCAGCCTTACTGAACACCTTTGGAATGAACAAGAATCCCAATTCCACATGGTGTGGAGGAAATCAAGCGGTCTGCGCAGACTCAAGAACTCATTCCTATTGAACACCTTTGGAATTAACAGGAACCCCAACTGAAAGCCAAGTTTTCTCATCCAACATCAGTACCTGACCTCACAAATGGTGGCCAGCTCCATATAGACAGTGTGGATGAACTGAAGCGGTCTGCGCAGACGCAAGAACTCAATCCTACTGAACACCTTTGGAATGAACAAGAACCCCAACTGCAAGCCAGGTCTTTTCATCCAACTCCACTAGCTGACCTCACAAATGGTGGCCAGCTGCACAAAAGACAGTTTGACCAGCTTGGTGTTGAGGAACTTGTGCGTCCTTGCAGAGACCTGAGAAGTCAAGCCTAATGAACACCTTTGGCAGGAAATGGAACACCAACTGCAAGCCAGGTCTTTTTATCCAACTCCACTACCTGACCACACAAACGGTGGCCAGCTCCATATGGACAGTCTGGATGAACTTAAGCGGTATGCACAGACTCAAGAACTCAATCCTACTGAACACCTTTGGAATGAACGGGAACCCCAACTGCAAGCAAAGTTTTCTCATCCAACATCAGTGCCTGACCTCACAAATGGTGGCCAGCTCCATAAAGACATGGTTTGACTAGCTTGGTGTGGAGGAACTCGAGTGGTCTGCACAGACCTGAGACTTCAATCCTACTGAACCCCTGTGGGATGAAAGGGAACCCCAACTGCAAGCCAGGTCTTTTCATCCAATTGCACTACCTGACCTCACAAATGATGACCAGCTGCACAAAAAGACATAGTTTGACCAGCTTGGTGTTGAGGAACTTGAGCATCCTTGCAGAGACCTGAGAAGTCAACCCTAATGAACACCTTTGGCAAGAAATGGAACACCAACTGCAAGCCAGGTCTTTTTATCCAACTCCACTACCTGACCTCACAAACGGTGGCCAGCTCCATATGGACAGTCTGGATGAACTTAAGCGGTATGCACAGACTCAAGAACTCAATCCTACTGAACACCTTTGGAATGAACGGGAACCCCAAATGCAAGCCAGGTCTTTTCATCCAATTCCACTACCTGACCTCACAAATGGTGACCAGCTGCACAAAGACATAGCTTGGTGTTGAGGAACTTGAGCGTCCTGCACAGACCTGTGAAGTCAACCCTAATGAACACCTTTGGCAAGAAATGGAACCCCAGCTGCAAGCCAGGTCTTCTTGCACAACATCAAAAGCTGATGACGCAAATTATCACAGACACTCCAAAGTCTTCCTGTTGCATCTACAGGACAGGAAGTGAAGAAAAATCTTGGGGCCTAGGCACATGGATGCAAATACAGGTGTATCGGAGTAAAGCAAAAATACACCTGTCTTTACAATGCCCGAGAGCCTCAGCTAGTGCTTATTCCTGCCCCTAGGGCCGTATTAATAGTACATGTGACCCAGAAGCTGCAGTGCGATGGCCTATGTTCTGGGCCTTCAGAAGGAAAAGTAGACAGCGCTGGCCACAATGTAGCCAAGGGGGTCGTTAACACTACCAGGATCACTTCCTTGGGCAGGTTGGTGTCAGCTTCAAGGCTTTGGAACTTTGCGTTTTTTTTTTTTTATACAATGCAAGGCACCATTGACGTCACCCACACATGTGCTCTGAAGGAGTGGCATACCCGTGCCATTTCTTCAGAGCCCTGTGCCGTAAAAAGTGACGTCATCGCGGCTGCAGCCAACAAACCCCCGAAGACTGGGTGAAGATGGATTCCCTGTCAAGTATCGTGTAGCCGCCGGTGACGTCACCCACACATGCACTCTGAAGGAATGGCATACCCGTGCAGTACCTTCAGAGCCCTGTGCCATAAATGGTGATGTGGGAGTGACGTCATCGTGACTCAGCCAATTAAGCGGCTGCAGCCAGCGAACCCCTGAAGACGACCGAGTGAAGATGGATTCCCTGTCAGGTATCGTGTAGCCGCCAGTGACGTCACCAGCACATGCGTTCTGAAGGAATGGCCTACCCGTGCAGTACCTTCAGAGCCCTGTGCCGTAAATATTGACGTGATCACGGCTTGGCTAATTAAGTGGCTGCAGCCAGCGAACCCCCAAAGAAGACCGAGTGAAGATGGATTCCCTGCCAGGTACCGTGTAGCCGCCGGTGACATCACCAGCACATGTGCTCTGAAGGAATGGCATACCTGTGCAGTACCTTCAGAGCCCTGTGCTGTAAACAGTGACTTCATCGCGGCTGCAGCCAGCGAACACCCGAAGAAGATTGGGTGAAGATGGATTCCCTGTCAAGTACTCAGGATTCCCTGTCAGGTACTGTGTAGCCGCCGGGGATGTCATCCGCACATGCGCTCTAAATGAATAGCATACCTGTGCAGTTCCTTCAGAGCCCTGTGCTGTAAACAGTGACGTCATCACGGCTGCAGCCAGAGATCCCCCGAAAAAGAATGGGTGAAGATTGATTTCCTGTCAGGTACCCATGATTCCCTGTCCGGTACCGTGTAGCTGCCAGTGATGTCACCCACACATGCGCTCTGAATGAATAGCATAGACGTGCAGTTCCTTCAGAGCCCTGTGCCGTACACAGTGACGTCATCACGGCTGCAGCCAGCGAACCCTCGAAGAAGACCGGGTGAAGATTGATTCCCTGTCAGGTACCCATGATTCCCTGTCAGGTACCGTGTAGCTGCCAGTGATGTCACCCACACATGCGCTCTGAATGAATAGCATACCCGTGCAGTTCCTTCAGAGCCCTGTGCCATAAATGGTGACGTTATCGCGGCTCGGGTAATTTAGTGGCTGCAGCCAACGAACCCCCGAAGTAGACCGAGTGAAGATGGATTCCCTGTCAGGTACCGTGCAGCCGCCGGTGAAGTCACCGACACATGCGCTCTGAAGGAATGGCATACCCGTGCAGTACCTTCAGAGCCCTGTGCTGTAAACGGTGACTTCATCGCGGCTGCAGCCAGCGAACACCCGAAGAAGATTGGGTGAAGATGGATTCCCTGTCAAGTACTCAGGATTCCCTGTCAGGTACTGTGTAGCCGCCGGGGATGTCATCCGCACATGCGCTCTAAATGAATAGCATACCTGTGCAGTTCCTTCAGAGCCCTGTGCCGTAAACAGTGACGTCATCACGGCTGCAGCCAGAGATCCCCCGAAAAAGAATGGGTGAAGATTGATTTCCTGTCAGGTACCCATGATTCCCTGTCCGGTACCGTGTAGCTGCCAGTGATGTCACCCACACATGCGCTCTGAATGAATAGCATAGACGTGCAGTTCCTTCAGAGCCCTGTGCCGTACACAGTGACGTCATCACGGCTGCAGCCAGCGAACCCTCGAAGAAGACCGGGTGAAGCTTGATTCCCTGTCAGGTACCCATGATTCCCTGTCAGGTACCGTGTAGCTGCCAGTGATGTCACCCACACATGCGCTCTGAAGGAATGGCATACCCGTGCAGTACCTTCAGAGCCCTGTGCTGTAAACGGTGACTTCATCGCGGCTGCAGCCAGCGAACACCCGAAGAAGATTGGGTGAAGATGGATTCCCTGTCAAGTACTCAGGATTCCCTGTCAGGTACTGTGTAGCCGCCGGGGATGTCATCCGCACATGCGCTCTAAATGAATAGCATACCTGTGCAGTTCCTTCAGAGCCCTGTGCCGTAAACAGTGACGTCATCACGGCTGCAGCCAGAGATCCCCCGAAAAAGAATGGGTGAAGATTGATTTCCTGTCAGGTACCCATGATTCCCTGTCCGGTACCGTGTAGCTGCCAGTGAAGTCACCGACACATGCGCTCTGAAGGAATGGCATACCCGTGCAGTTCCTTCAGAGCCCTGTGCCGTACACAGTGACGTCATCACGGCTGCAGCCAGCGAACCCTCGAAGAAGACCGGGTGAAGATTGATTCCCTGTCAGGTACCGTGTAGCTGCCAGTGATGTCACCAGCACGTGCGCTCTGAATGAATAGCATACTCGTGCAGTTCCTTCAGAGCTCTGTGCCTTAAACAGTGACACGGGAGTGACGTCATCACGGCTCAGCTAATTAAGTGGCTGCAGCCAGCGACAGGGAACTGCTGGAGGGACCCATTTCAGAGGCAAGTCTGTCATATTGTGCTAGTTTGCGCTGCGTAAATTAGGACTTCACCCTGCGGGGGGGACCAGATTTTTTTTTTTTTTGGTATCAGCAGCAGCAGTTTACTACTGCTGTAAAGCTGAATTACAGGCAAGGTCATGTTTATAAAGATTGCTTCTTAAAAGCAGATTAAATGCAGTACCAGTTCTCGCCAGTGTCCTCTAGGGGCGCTCTGCCTGGGATGGCTGGTGGTATAGTATCCCTCATTGTATGAGGAGGGTCCTGAGGACCTTCCATGTGAAAAATAAACCAAATGAAGTACCCACTGGGCAGAGTGAGTTAGTAGTATCTCCCTGGTGTGGAGGGTTCCAAGGGTGCCTCCTGATTTAAACTACCTTGAGCTACCTCGTCTGGATGAGGGCCCCGCCCCCGGGCCAGCCCCATTTGCGCCCCTTCCCACACCTGGGGATCTATTGATACCCTGCCAAGGTCAGGTACACAAAAAAAAGAATTGCAACCACAATTACCAAAGAAAAACCCACAGCAGAAATACAGGCTTCCCTAGAAAAAGATGGTGTGGTTATTTCAAGGAGCACAATACAATACTAGAACGAAAAATGAGCTGCGTGGTCGAGTTGTCAGCAGACTTTCCCGTGTCAATGCCACAAAAAAGCCCGGTTACAATATGCCCAACACCACCTTAACATGCCTCACAGCTTCTGGCACACTGTAATTTGGAGCGATGAGAGCACAATGGTCACAAGCGCTGTGTTTGGAGAGAGGTCAACAGCGACAAGAATACCATCTCCACTGTGAAGCATGGTGGTGGCTCACTGATGTTTTTTCGGGGGGAGCTCTAAAGAATCTTGTGAAACTTGATGGCAAAGAGAATGCAGCATGTTATCAGAAAATGCTGGCAGACAATTATCATTCTTCTTCACAAAACGCAGAGCATGGGACACTCTTGGAATTTCCAGCACGACAGTGACCCCAACTAAACACAAGGTCAAGCAGACCCTCCAGCCGAAAAAGGTGAAGGTTCTGGAGTGGCCATCACAGTATCCTGACCTTAATATTGAGCCGCTCTGGGGAGATCTCATGGCTCATGCAAGACGGCCAAAGACTTTGTATGGCCGGGAGGCACTTTGGCAAGACGAATGGGCAGCTCTACCACCGGCAAGAATTCGGGGGCCTCATAGACAACCATTACAGAAGACGGCATACTGTCATTGATGCTAAAGGGGGCGCTACACAGGATTAAAAACTAAGGGGATGCATTTCATTGGTTTACTTGTTGCCAGGCTTTGTTTTATAATTGTGCCATTCTGTTGTCACCTCCAGTTACAGAAAACGAATCCCAGTAGAAAGGGTTTTGCCGACTCGCTCATGTTTTCTCCGTACATTTTATTACCAATTCTCCAAGATATAGATGTGTAATATTTATATATTTTTATTTCTCCAAACAGCCGAACCTGCAATTCAACTTTACCAAAACTGGATGAAAATTACATATCCCCCCTTTTAACCCCTTCCAGTCCGGACGCTTCCCCCCCCCCTTCCGGTCCGGACGCTTTCCCCCCCTTCCGGTCCGGACGCTTTCCCCCCCTTCCGGTCCGGACGCTTCCCCCCCCACCCTTCCGGTCCGGACGCTTCCCCCCCACCCTTCCGGTCCGGACGCTTCCCCCCCACCCTTCCGGTCCGGACGCTTCCCCCCCACCCTTCGGGTCCGGACGCTTCCCCCCCACCCTTCCGGTCCGGACGCTTTCCCCCCCACCCTTCCGGTCCGGACGCTTCCCCCCCCACCCTTCCGGTCCGGACGCTTTCCCCCCCACCCTTCCGGTCCGGACGCTTTCCCCCCCACCCTTCCGGTCCGGACGCTTTCCCCCCCACCCTTCCGGTCCGGACGCTTTCCCCCCCCCCTTCCGGTCCGGACGCTTTCCCCTCCCCTTCCGGTCCGGACGCTTTCCCCCTCCCCTTTCCCCTCCCCTTCCGGTCCGGACGCTTTCCCCGCTCCCCTCCCTTCCGGTCCGGACGCTTTCCCCCCTCCCCTTCCGGACGCTTTCCCCCTCCCCTTCCGGACGCTTTCCCCCTCCCCTTCCGGTCGCTTTCCCCTCCCCTTCCGGTCCGGACGCTTTCCCCCCTCCCCTTCCGGTCCGGACCGCTTTCCCCTCCCCTTCCGGTCCGGACCGCTTTCCCCTCCCCTTCCGGTCCGGACGCTTTCCCCTCCCCTTCCGGTCCGGACGCTTTCCCCTCCCCTTCCGGTCCGGACGCTTTCCCCTCCCCTTCCGGTCCGGACGCTTTCCCCTCCCCTTCCGGTCCGGACGCTTTCCCCTCCCCTTCCGGTCCGGACGCTTTCCCCTCCCCTTCCGGTCCGGACGCTTTCCCCCCCCCCCCCTTCCGGTCCGGACGCTTTCCCCCCCCCTTCCGGTCCGGACGCTTTCCCCCCCCCTTCCGGTCCGGACGCTTTCCCCCCCCCTTCCGGTCCGGACGCTTTCCCCCCCCCTTCCAGTCAAGGCCAATTTTCAGCTTTCAGCGCTATCACACTTTGAATGACAATTGCGCGGTCATGCAACTCTGTACCCATATGAATCTTTTAGCATTTGTTTGAGACAGATAAAGCTTTATTTTGGTGGTATTTATTTACCACTGGGATTTTTTTTTTTTTTTTTGCTATGTAAATAATCCAAAAATTGTAAATAAGTCCAATAATTTTGAAAAAAAAAAAGTGTTCTTATAAAATTTTGCAAATAAATATTTCATCATAAATATTGGCCAAAATTTATTCCGTTATTTTGGTAAAAAAAAAAAAAAAAAAAAAAAAAAAAAAACCCCAAATTAGTGTATAACCAAAAATTATAATTTAACATTTTTTTTTTACATTTTTATTTTTGTTATATTATTTATGCTTTTTTTTTTTTACATACTGTCACCCTAGCAGTACAGCGTTACCATGGTGACACTGTACTACTTGTGGGGGGTGATGAAGATTTTTTTTTTTTTTTTTTGTACACCGATTGCTTTTACACCCATAAAGGCTGTAAAATCAATAATTTCTCCTCTCTGGCTGCATTCTTGCAGCCATTGAGAACTACTGAGTGAGCTGTGATTGGTCACAGCTTGTCACATGGTACAAGGCTGTTGTGAATAGCCTTGTATCATGTGACCTCTGTGATCATTCACAGATTTCACACGTAGTAAGCAATGATGTCAGAAGTGACATCTTGCTTACTACTCTGCATGTGATCACTGATTGGCCAATCAGTGATCACATGATCGGGACCTCGCACAGAGGTCCCGTACGACGATCGATGTTCCACTGTGTCCTGGCACAGGACACAGCGGGCACCGGATCGCAGTGCTGCGCACTCCCAGGGGGCGTGCAGAAGCAGGGGGCAGGGAGGCCGTTTATTAACGGCCACCCGACCCTGCACTGCCACTGTTTATATAGAACGGCCGGACTGGAGGTGGTTAAAAGTAATTTTTTTCTTTTTTTTTGTTGTGTTTACATTGTCAACGTTTCTAAGCAGATAACATTTAACTATCTGAATCTTCTATTTCACAAATATTAGCGTGAAAACTAGGTTTTCAATGCATGGTGGTGGGCAGCCTGTGCACAACTGACTAAGCATAAATTCCTTCCTTTAAAGGTGGGGGGGGGGGGGGGGGGGGGGGGTGACCCTTCTACACGACTCACTACAATCTCTGTAGTTTTATCTCCCTGGACTCCTGCTGCTCTTACTGGATGCTAGTGGTGAACATACAACAAATAGGTAAAATGTCATATTGGCGTTCGTCAATCAGTTAAAGTTTTGCTTGTTTTGTACAGAACATTATAAATAAATAAAAAAATACCAAAAAAAAATAAAAAAATAATAGAAAAACAGTGAGTAGTGTCTGTGCATACCTGAAACACGTTGCTTTTGTGGCCGCTCTCAAACTCTAGAACGGGCTTTTTCCTCACCCAGTCCCAAACGACCACCTTGAGGTCATCGCTGCCGCTTGCCAACCAAGTGCCCCTCTGGTTGAAATGCAAGGTGTTAACGCAGCCGAGGTGCCCATCCAGGCCGTGTAAGAGCCGGAACCTCTGGACGAACCCGCGTGCCCCGCAGGCGTCGTAAATGAAGCGCCGGCTGCTTCCAATCTCCCTTTGTCTGAGCGCGCGGATGGCTCGCCACCGAGGTCTGGGCAAAGGTGTCTTCTCCGAGGACACCCAGTCTTCCAAAGCCCTTTCATCATCAGAAGAGTCCTGGTCATTGTTGGCTCGCTTTTTTTGGCCTCGTTTACGGAGTCTGTCTTCCTCCTCCTCCTCTTCTTCCTCCTCCTCCTCGTCCTCCGAGTGTGAACGGTCATTTCCACGGTTCTCATCGTTAATGGAATACAGTCCAGTATCGTCCATACTGTCGGAGTCCTTGTCCTCCCCCGAGCTCTCAGAGCTACTGTCCCTGCTTTCTGCTCGGTTTGTGCCCGTCTCGTCTCCGGTGAGACTTAGGCTTACGTCTGAGGCTTCCACCTCAATCCCCGATGAGTTCTCCTTCCCTTCTTCTGTTCCAGACATGTCTTCTGGGCTACTGGAGAAGCTTCCTGAGCAAGAGAAGAACCAAGAACATATGAGATAAAAGGGAAGCATCACAGGAGCAGCAACAAATGTCAAATGATTTAAATACAAAAGACAACCTGCACAGAAATCATTCTTGTTGGGGCCAACTGGGTGGTGGTGAGCAAACTGGTCACCAATAATAAAACAAAGGGCCTAGTGGGCCAAAGGCAAGGGTGGGAAGAATGACCGAAGGTTGACATGGAAGTTCAGGCATATTCAAAGCCAAAACTTTTTTTTTTTTTTCTATTTTTGTTTGAGGTAGGGAAGGGTTAGGACTCCCTAAGTTTTTATTGCTTGAGGAACCTTCAAATGGAGGACACTTGTTATGGTGACAACCAACCAGGAACAAAAAGGAGCCTTCAAATGGAGGACACTTGTTATGGGGACAACTAACCAGGAACAAAAAGGAGCCTTCAAATGGAGGACAACTAACCAGGAACAAAAAGGAGCCTTCAAATGGAGGACACTTGTAACCAGGAACAAAAACAAAAAAAGAACCTTCAAATGGAGGACAACTAACCAGGAACAAAAAGGAGCCTTCAAATGGAAACGCTTATTATGGAGCCAACTAACCAAGAATAGGAACCTTCAAAAAGGAACCTAGTTATGGGGACAACTAACCAGGAACAAAAGGAGCCTTCAAATGGAAATGCTGATTATGGTGCCAACTAACCAAGAATAATGGAACCTTCAGATGGAGACACTAGTTATGGTGACAACCAACCAGGAACAAAAAGAAGCCTTCAAATGGAAACGCTTATTTTGGAGCCAACTAACCAAGAATAATGGAACCTTCAAATGGAGACACTAGTTATGGTGACAACCAACCAGGAACAAAAAGAAGCCTTCAAATGGAAATGCTGATTTTGGTGCCAACTAACCAAGAATAATGGAACCTTCAGAGGGAGACACTAGTTATGGTGGCAAATATCTGAGATTGTATTTCCATCTCACAAAAGGAATTTTTTTTTCTGTAACATGACGGGAAATGAAGACATTCCCCCAATTGGACACAGATAGTGCAAAAAAAAAAAAAAACCCACCCCCCCCCAAAAAAAAAAAAAAGTCCACAAATATGTATCCGACTTCCTTCTAGTGTTTTCCATTCAAAGGAAAAAAGTTATGGCCTCATTCACACAAGCTTACTAAAGGTGGATCTTCAATTGTTGCTGCCTCTCCACTCTTTTTAAAAAAAAAAAAAAAAAAAAAAGGCCGGCCCACCCCTTTCCCCCCACACACGTCACTCGCCTAGGTGAATAATGTACACTTTGCCTGCTGTGCCTCCTGGGATATGCATGTCACCTAACCCAGGAAGTATAATCCTTCATTGAGAAAGGAGGAGTGGAGTGGACCTAGCAGCCTGTCATCGGGAGAGCCGCCAGCTAAACCTGGAAGAGCCAGCAGCTTCCTGACGACGTCTCATTCTTGTGTGACATCGTTAGGAAACTGCTGGCTCTTCCTGGTTCAGATGGTGGTTCTCCCGATGACAATCCACTAGGCCCATCATCAACATCTCCCAATGACAAGCCGCTAGGCCATTTAAAGTGGGGATTTAAATAAATATCCAAAGAGAAACCAACACGTTTCAGGGGTTCGGGCACTGCCCTTCATCAGGTCTTGGCGCAGGACCAAGTGGAGGCAGAAGAGAAGAGGATTTCAGCAGGACAGCACTGAAATTCCCTGGGCATGTGAGTATCTTAAAAAAAGATATTAAAGATATATATATATATCTCCATACATACACACACAGAGTATACAGTGCTAGGGCAGGGTGGGCAACTAGGCGAGTATACAGTGCTAGGGCAGGGTGGGCAACTAGGCAAGTATACAGTGCTAGGACAGGGTGGGCAACTAGGCGAGTATACAGTGCTAGGGCAGGGTGGGCAACTAGGCGAGTATACAGTGCTAGGGCAGGGTGGGCAACTAGGCGAGTATACAGTGCTAGGACAGGGTGGGCAACTAGGCGAGTATACAGTGCTAGGACAGGGTGGGCAACTAGGCGAGTATACAGTGCTAGGGCAGGGTGGGCAACTAGGCGAGTATACAGTGCTAGGACAGGGTGGGCAACTAGGCAAGTATACAGTGCTAGGACAGGGTGGGCAACTAGGCGAGTATACAGTGCTAGGGCAGGGTGGGCAACTAGGCGAGTATACAGTGCTAGGGCAGGGTGGGCAACTAGGCGAGTATACAGTGCTAGGGCAGGGTGGGCAACTAGGCGAGTATACAGTGCTAGGACAGGGTGGGCAACTAGGCGAGTATACAGTGCTAGGGCAGGGTGGGCAACTAGGCGAGTATACAGTGCTAGGGCAGGGTGGGCAACTAGGCGAGTATACAGTGCTAGGGCAGGGTGGGCAACTAGGCGAGTATACAGTGCTAGGGCAGGGTGGGCAACTAGGCGAGTATACAGTGCTAGGGCAGGGTGGGCAACTAGGCGAGTATACAGTGCTAGGGCAGGGTGGGCAACTAGGCGAGTATACAGTGCTAGGGCAGGGTGGGCAACTAGGCGAGTATACAGTGCTAGGGCAGGGTGGGCAACTAGGCGAGTATACATTAGGGCAGGGTGGGCAACTAGGCGAGTATACATTAGGGCAGGGTGGGCAACTAGGCGAGTATACGCTAGGGCAGGGTGGGCAACTAGGCGAGTATACAGTGCTAGGGCAGGGTGGGCAACTAGGCGAGTATACAATGCTAGGGCAGGGTGGGCAACTAGGCGAGTATACAGTGCTAGGGCAGGGTGGGCAACTAGGCGAGTATACAGTGCTAGGGCAGGGTGGGCAACTAGGCGAGTATACAGTGCTAGGGCAGGCTGGGCAACTAGGCGAGTATACATTGCTAGGGCAGGGTGGGCAACTAGGTGAGTATACATTGCTAGGGCAGGGTGGGCAACTAGGTGAGTATACATTGCTAGGGCAGGGTGGGCAACTAGGCGAGTATACAGTGCTAGGGCAGGGTGGGCAACTAGGTGAGTATACATTGCTAGGGCAGGGTGGGCAACTAGGCGAGTATACAGTGCTAGGGCAGGGTGGGCAACTAGGCGAGTATACAGTGCTAGGGCAGGGTGGGCAACTAGGCGAGTATACATTAGGGCAGAGTGGGCAACTAGGCGAGTATACAGTGCTAGGGCAGGGTGGGCAACTAGGCGAGTATACATTGCTAGGGCAGGGTGGGCAACTAGGTGAGTATACATTGCTAGGGCAGGGTGGGCAACTAGGTGAGTATACATTGCTAGGGCAGGGTGGGCAACTAGGCGAGTATACAGTGCTAGGGCAGGGTGGGCAACTAGGCGAGTATACATTGCTAGGGCAGGGTGGGCAACTAGGCGAGTATACAGTGCTAGGGCAGGGTGGGCAACTAGGCGAGTATACATTGCTAGGGCAGGGTGGGCAACTAGGCGAGTATACAGTGCTAGGGCAGGGTGGGCAACTAGGCGAGTATACATTGCTAGGGCAGGGTGGGCAACTAGGTGAGTATACATTGCTAGGGCAGGGTGGGCAACTAGGCGAGTATACAGTGCTAGGGCAGGGTGGGCAACTAGGCGAGTATACAGTGCTAGGGCAGGGTGGGCAACTAGGCGAGTATACAGTGCTAGGGCAGGGTGGGCAACTAGGCGAGTATACATTAGGGCAGAGTGGGCAACTAGGCGAGTATACAGTGCTAGGGCAGGATGGGCAACTAGGCGAGTATACAGTGCTAGGGCAGGGGGGCAACTAGGCGAGTATACAGTGCTAGGGCAGGGTGGGCAACTAGGCGAGTATACAGTGCTAGGGCAGGGTGGGTAACTAGGCGAGTATACAGTGCTAGGACAGGGTGGGCAACTAGGCGAGTATACAGTGCTAGGGCAGGGTGGGCAACTAGGCGAGTATACAGTGCTAGGCAGGGTGGGCAACTAGGCGAGTATACAGTGCTAGGACAGGGTGGGCAACTAGGCGAGTATACAGTGCTAGGGCAGGGTGGGCAACTAGGCGAGTATACAGTGCTAGGGCAGGGTGGGCAACTAGGTGAGTATACATTGCTAGGGCAGGGTGGGCAACTAGGCGAGTATACATTAGGGCAGGGTGGGCAACTAGGCGAGTATACATTAGGGCAGGGTGGGCAACTAGGCGAGTATACAGTGCTAGGGCAGGGTGGGCAACTAGGTGAGTATACATTGCTAGGGCAGGGTGGGCAACTAGGCGAGTATACATTAGGGCAGGGTGGGCAACTAGGAGAGTATACATTAGGGCAGGGTGGGCTATCAGGAGCCCCTGACTGGTAGGTGATGGAATCGTGCCTCTAACACATTCTGATTCTGGACAATCCCAGATGTGACCGATCCTCCATTACTACATCGAGCACAAACCTTGGGTAGAGCACACCCTGACATTTCCAGATCTGGAAGAACGCCAAATATCCTCAACACCTTGTCTTCAAGCTGAAGTTACGTAAGGAACATGAACTGCGTTGTCAGAACACTTCAGTCCCTCGGTACAAAGTCAATGGCTAATCCATCCCACATGTATGAGCAAACAGATGGCTCTTTAGTTTGTTAAAATGTTACTGAACCCACAACAGTACAATCAGTCTGTAGATGCAGTAAAGCATGCTTGTTATATTCCCTGTGGAACCTAAGGGGTTAATCCTCTGCATTGTGTAAAAAGGCTGTTTGATCCTGTCTTCCCTGATCCTCCCCTTGTACTGTCCCCCAATCCACCTGCTGATAGTACAGAGGCCTAGGAGGCACTCTAGCAGTACACACCAAACCGAGCATGTGCAGAGGTTCTTTTTTTCTTCCTTTGGGAGAGTGCATGAGATCAGCACAGGGCCAATCAGCACTGTCCAGACAGAGGGTCAGGAGTTATACAGCCTCATAGGACAATCAGAGCAGAATGAAAACACCCCCTACGAGATTTAACCAGTGCTCAGCTGGACACTGATAAAAGTCACAAGACTGCTATATACGGCTGACGAGAAAAGGTATTTAGCCGTTTATAGTTACTAAAATAACTGCATTTCCATGTTCTGTGTACTGCGATTGTCAACACCGGGCTCTGATTGAACACAGCCAATCAGCAGGTCCCAGCCATGAATTAATGGCCGGGATCTGTTGACTGACTCTTGCTATGTACAATCACAGCGGGTGTTGGTGCGGGAGGGGTGCACCCTAAACAAGGACCTACCAGCATGTCAGTCACTTTGCCTACGCAGGCCGCCTGTCCGCAGTACAATGTGGGCGAGCGTTCTGGAAGTGGTTAACCCCTGCCTGCCGGGCACTTCTACCCCCTTCCTGCCCCTCGCCTGCCGGGCACTTCTACCCCCTTCCTGCCCCTCGCCTGCCGGGCACTTCTACCCCCTTCCTGCCGGGCACTTCTACCCCTTCCTTTCCTGCCGGGGGCACTTCTACCCCCTTCCTGCCGGGCACTTCTACCCCCTTCCTGCCGGGCACTTCTACCCCCTTCCTGCCCCTCGCCTGCCGGGCCTTCTACCTGCCGGGCACTTCTACCCCCCTTCTACCCCCCTTCCTGCCCCTCGCCTACCGGGCACTTCTACCCCCTTCCTCCGGGCACTACTACCCTTCCTGCCCACTTCTACCCCCTTCCTGCCGGGCACTTCTACCCCCTTCCTGCCCCTCGCCTGCCGGCACTTCTACCCCCCTTCCTGCCCCTCGCCTGCCGGGCACTTCTACCCCCTTCCTGCCCCTCGCCTGCCGGGCACTTCTACCCCCTTCCTGCCCCTCGGGCACTTCTACCCCCTTCCTGCCGGGGCACTTCTACCCCCTTCCTGCCCCTCGCCTGCCGGGCACTTCTACCCCCTTCCTGCCCCTCGCCTACCGGGCACTTCTACCCCCTGCCCCTCGCCTACCGGCCACTTCTTTTCCCCGCTTTCTACCCCCTTCCTGCCCCTTGCCTACCGGGCACTTCTACCCCCTTCCTGCCCAGGCCAATTGCAGCTTTCAGCGCTGTTGCACTTTGAATGACAATTGCGCGGTCATGCAACATTGTACCCATATGACATTTTTATCATTTTTTTTTAACACAAATAGAGCTTTCTTTTGGTGGTATTTAATCACCACTGGGAGTTTATTTTTTGCACTATAAACAAAAAAAAAAAAAGGAGCAAAAAATTTTGAAAAAAAAAGTTTCTTTGTTTCTATTATAAAATTTTGCAAACAGGTAATTTTTCTCCTTCACTGATGTGCGTTGAAGGAGCGGCACGGACAGGCGGCACTGATGGAGCGGCACGGACAGGCGGCACTGATGGAGCGGCACGGACAGGCGGCACTGATGGAGCGGCACGGACAGGCGGCACTGATGGAGCGGCACGGACAGGCGGCACTGATGGAGCGGCACGGACAGGCGGCACTGATGGAGCGGCACGGACAGCCAGCACTGATGGGGCGGCACGGACAGCCAGCACTGATGGGGCGGCACGGACAGCCAGCACTGATGGGGCGGCACTGATGGGCACTGATCATCAGGGTACGTATCCTCAGTGCCCTGATGATCGGTGCCGATAATTTCTCTGACAATTGCCGGTTCTTGGCAGTAATTTCCTCACACTGACAGCGTGAGGAGAGTGCAGCCGATATCGGCAACTGTAGTTACCCGGAGATCTGCTGTGTCTGCTGTGTCATTGGACTCAGCTGAACACAGTGGAACACTGATCGTCGTACGGGACCTCTGTGCGAGGTCCCGATCATGTGATCACTGATTGGCCAATCAGTGATCACATGCAGAGTAGCAAGCAAGATGCCACTTCTGACATCATTGCTTACTACGTGTGAAATCTTTGAATGATCACAGAGGTCACATGGTACAGGGCTATTCACAACAGCCTTGTACCATGTGACAAGCTGTGACCAATCACAGCTCACACATTAGTTCTCAATGGCTGCAAGAATGCAGCCAGAAAGAAGGAGAAATTATTGCTTTTACATCCTTTATGGTTGTAAAAGCAATCCGTGTAAAAAAAAAAAAAAAAAAAAAAAAAAAAAAAATCTCATCACCCCCCACAAGTAGTACAGTGTCACCATGGTGACACTGTACTGCTAGGGTGACAGTATGTAAAAAAATATAAAAATGTAAAAAAAATAATTTGGGTTATTTTTTTTTTACTAAAAAGATAACGGAATAAATTTTGGCCAAGATTTATGATGAAATATTATTTACTTGCAAATAAGAAACACTTTTTTCAAAATTTTTGCACTTTTTAATTTACATAGCAAAAAAAAAAAAATACAAAATCCCAGCGGTGAATAAATACCACCAAAATAAAGCTTTATCTGTCTCAAAAAAATACTAAAAAATTCATATGGGTACAGTGTTGCATGACCGCGCAATTGTCATTCAAAAGTGTGATAGCGCTGAAAGCTGAAAATTGGCCTGGACAGGAAGGGGGGGAAAGCATCCGGACCGGAAGGGGGGGGGGGGGAAAGCGTCCGGACCGGAAGGGGGGGGGGGGGGAAAAGCGTCCGGACCGGAAGGGGGGGGGGGGGGAAGCGTCCGGACCGGAAGGGGGGGGGGGGGGGGGGGGGAAAGCGTCCGGACCGGAAGGGGGGGGGGGGGGGGGAAAGGGGAAAGCGTCCGGACCGGAAGGGGGGGGGGGAAAAAGCGTCCGGACCGGAAGGGGGGGGGGGGGGAGGAAAGCGTCCGGACCGGAAGGGGGGGGGGAAGCGTCCGGACCGGAAGGGGGGGGGAAGCGTCCGGACCGGAAGGGGGGGGGAAGCGTCCGGACCGGAAGGGGGGGGGGAAGCGTCCGGACCGGAAGGGGGGGGGGGAAGCGTCCGGACCGGAAGGGGGGGGGGAAGCGTCCGGACCGGAAGGGGGGGGGGGGGGGGGAAGCGTCCGGACCGGAAGGGGGGGGGAAGCGTCCGGACGGAAGGGGGGGGGGGGGAAGCGTCCGGACCGGAAGGGGGGGGGAAAGCGTCCGGACCGGAAGGGGGGGGGAAGCGTCCGGACCGGAAGGGGGGGGGGAAGCGTCCGGACCGGAAGGGGGGGGGAAGCGTCCGGACCGGGGGGGGGGGAAGCGTCCGGACCGGAAGGGGGGGGGAAGCGTCCGGACCGGAAGGGGGGGGGAAGCGTCCGGACCGGAAGGGGGGGGGGGAAGCGTCCGGGACCGGACCAGGGGGGGGGAAGCGTCCGGACCGGAAGGGGGGGGGAAGCGTCCGGACCGGGGGGGGGTGGGGAAGCGTCCGGACCGGAAGGGGGGGGGGAGCGTCCGGACCGGAAGGGGGGGGAAGCGGAAAGGGGGGGGAAGCGTCCGGACCGGAAGGGGGGGGAAGCGTCCGGACCGGAAGGGGGGGGAAGCGTCCGGACCGGAAGGGGGGGGAAGCGTCCGGACCGGAAGGGGGGGGGAAGCGTCCGGACTGGAAGGGGGGGGAAGCGTCCGGACCCGGAAGGGGGGGGAAGCGTCCGGACCGGAAGGGGGGGGAAGCGTCCGGACCGGAAGGGGGGGGGAAGCGTCCGGACCGGAAGGGGGGGGAAGCGTCCGGACCGGAAGGGGGGGGAAGCGTCCGGACCGGAAGGGGGGGGGGGGTGAAGCGTCCGGACCGGAAGGGGGGGGAAGCGTCCGGACCGGAAGGGGGGGGAAGCGTCCGGACCGGAAGGGGGGGGAAGAAGCGTCCGGACTGGAAGGGGGGGGGGGGGAAGCGTCCGGACCGGAAGGGGGGAAGAAGCACGTCCGGACTGGAAGGGGGGGGGGGGGGGGGGGGGGAAGCGTCCGGACTGGAAGTGGTTAAGGTGTATCCTCCTTCACTTCCCCGTTATATTGAAGGAACGGGAACGAAGCACACACACACACACACACACACACACACACACACCAAAACTGCGAGAAGACCACGGATCGGCTTACCGTTGGCTAGATCTGTCTTGCCTTCTGCCATTTCTCCATTAAATGACATGGCAACCCCCCTCCGGAAGCTGGGATGTGGGGCACTAAAGTGCCAGATACCTGAAATAGAGAACATATGACCAGGGTTATATATCATGCGCGGAAAGCAGCATTTCCATGGCTAGTAGACGGAAAAAAAAAAAAAAAAAAAGACAAAAACACCAGAACATCTCCGAAATAAAACAGAGGCAGACAGTGTGCCTAGGCACCCCCGTACCTACAACTGTAGATCTGCAATGTGAGATCTAAGGCACTGCTGCATCTGATGGCTAATCTTAAGAGATCTGGTGAGGTCACTGCTGTGCTGTTCACCGTTTCTCCTTGCTGGAGGCTCTGCCATGAGGAAGCAAAAGCTCTGCCTCAAACAAGATGGCCGCCTCCATCCAAAGACAGGGCAGACCCCAGCATGGTAAGTCAGTGATGGAGAAACATCAGCTCCAAGGAGACCACAGGCAATATCATTAACATCACTACTGTGGTGCTCACAGTTCTCCTTGCTGGTGCCTCTGCCATAAGGAACAAAGCCCTGTCTCTGTCAAGATGGCCAACTCCACACAGAGACAGTGCCATGACGTAGTAAGTCGGTGATGGGGAAATATCAGTTTCAAGAAGACCACAGGCAATACTACTGTTATCACTACTTTGATGCTCTGTTATCCTTGCTGGAGGCTCTGCAATGAGGAAGCAAACCCCTGCCTCTACAAAGATGGCAGCCTCCACACACGCAGTGCAGATGATGGCATGGTAAGTCAGTAACAGAGAAAGATCAGTTCCAGTGAGATCACAAGCAACACTAGTGACATCGCTACTGTGCTGCTCACCCTACTTCTTACTGGAGGCTCTACCATGGGGAAGAAAAGCCCTGCCTCTACCAAGATGGCTGCCTCCACACAGTGCAGGTCAAAATCGGTAAGTCAGTAATGTGGAAAGATTAGGAAGGAAGGAGGAAGGGAGGGAGGCAGGGAAGGAAGGGAGAGAGGAAGGAAGGTGGGAGAGGGAAGGGAGGGAAGAGGGGAGGGAGGGAAGGGAAGGAAGGTGGGAAGAGGGAGGGAAGGGAAGGGAGGGAAAGGGAAGGGAGGGAAGGGAAGGAAGGGAAGGAAGGGAAGGAAGGGAAGGAAGGTGAGGGAGGGAAGGGAAGGAAGGGAAGAGGGAGGGAAGGGAAGGAAGGGAAGGAAGGGGGGAGGGGAGGGAAGGGAAGGAAGGGAAGGAAGGTTGGGAGAGGGAAGGAAGGTGGGGAGAGGGAGGGAAGGGAAGGAAGGGGGAGAGGGAGGGAAGGGAAGGAAGGGAAGAGGGGGGAAGGGAAGGAAGGGAAGAGGGAGGGAAGGGAGGGAAGGGAAGAGGAGGGAAGGGGAGGGAAGGGAAGGAAGGGAGGGAGGGAAGGGAAGGAAGGGAAGAGGGAGGGAAGGGGAAGGAAGGGAAGGGAAGGAAGGAAGGGAAGAGGGAGGGAAGGGAAGGAAGGGAAGAGGGAGGGAAGGGAAGGGGAGGGAAGGAAGGGGAAGAGGGAGGGAAGGGAAGGAAGGGAAGGAAGGTGGGAGGGAGGGAAGGAAGGGGGAAGAGGGAGGGAAGGAAGGAAGGGAAGAGGGAGGGAAGGGAAGGGAAGGAGGAAGAGGGAGGGAAGGGAAGAGGGAGGGAAGGAAGAGGGAGGGAGGGAAGGAAGGGAAGAGGGAGGGAAGGGAAGGAAGGGAAGAGGGAGGGAATGGAAGAAGGAAGAGGGAGGGAAGGGAAGGAAGGGAAGAGGGAGGGAAGGGAAGGAAGGGAAGAGGAGGGAAGGGAAGGGGGAGGGAAGAGAGGGAAGGAAGGGAAGGGAGGGAAGGAAGGGAGGGAGGGAAGGAAGGGGGAAGAGGGAAGGAAGGGAAGAGGGAAGGAAGGGAAGAGGGAAGGAAGGGAAGAGGGAGGGAAGGGAAGGAGGGAGGGAAGGGAAGAAGGGAGGGAAGGGAAGAGGGAAGGAAGGGAAGAGGGAAGGAAGGGAAGAGGGAAGGAAGGGAAGGAAGGGAAGGGAGGGAGGGAAGAGGGAAGGGAGGGAGGGAAGGGGAAGGAAGGGAGGGAAGAGGGAAGGAAGGGAGGGAAGAGGGAAGGGAGGGAAGGAAGGGAAGAGGGAAGGAAGGGAGGGAAGAGGGAAGGGAGGGAAGAGGGAAGGAAGGGAAGGGAAGAGGGAAGGGAAGGGAAGAGGGAAGGAAGGGAAGAGGGAAGGAAGGGAAGAGGGAAGGAAGGGAAGAGGGAAGGAAGGGAAGAGGGAAGGGAAGGGAAGAGGGAGGGAAGGGAAGAGGGAGGAAGGGAAGAGGGAAGGAAGGGAAGAGGGAGGGGAAGGGAAGAGGGAAGGAAGGGAAGAGGGAAGGAAGGGGGAAGAGGAAAGGAAGGAAGGGTAAGAGGGAAGGAAGGAAGGGAAGAGGGAAGGAAGGAAGGGAAGAGGAAAGGAAGGAAGGGAAGAGGAAGGAAGGAAGGGAAGAGGAAGGAAGGAAGGGAAGAGGGAAGGAAGGAAGGGAAGAGGGAAGGAAGGAAGGGAAGAGGGAAGGAAGGAAGGAAGAGGGAAGAGGGAAGGAAGGAAAGAGGGAGGTTAAATACTGGTCATAAGTACTCCAACCCACTAGTTCCCAGGGTGTCCAGGATCAGGTGAGGTTGGTCGTCACGCACACGGGGTGTTTCTATAGAGCTGCTGTTTTGGGCATCAGGCATGTTCTCCTATGTGTCCGTGCTCACACAGGCTTTTATCAGCGTTTTAGGCTGGAAAAAGAACCCAGAACTACTGCGTCTGAAGAGGAGTTTCTCAGCTGTAAAAAACGCTCTAACGCTGAAAAAACGTTGCAAAACGGCTCTCTGGCATTTATTAGTGTTTTGAGCCTCAAGCTTTTGTGGGAGTATAGTCATGCTAAAAAAAAAAAAAAAAAAAAAAAAAAAAAAAAAAAAAAAAAAAAAAACTTGCGTCAATGCGGCTTTCTACAGCCAATGCTACCAATGTTTCTGTAACGTGTAGTGTGAACGGCCGTGCCGTGAAGGTGACAGGTACACTTTATAGACATTCCCCGGCAGAGTTGTACTCACCAGTGTGAAACGACTTGTTGACTCCAAAGTGCAAAAGTCTGCAAAAGGAAAAAAAAAAAAACAACATTATCAGACACAACAAACAGATGCAGACATCATGCGGCACTAATAACAGAGACAGAGGAGCGCGGCGCCACCCACTGCAAATAAAAAGACTTCCACCTGTCATCTTCTAACCTCATTGGCTGCTGTAATATAGAAAACCTAATTTGCATTTTAGAAAGAGCCAATCATGGCTGGGCTCAGGCACAAGTTGCAGCAAAGGACCTTAAGACCCTGGCCGCACTGGGTGGGGCTTTTTTTTTTTTTTTTTTTTTTTTAATTCTTCAGTTACTTCCTGGTTTCTGGCCTAGGCCTCAATGTTGTCCTACATCCCAGGAGTATTCGGCTGAGCACACTCCTCTTGCTAACAAGCCTGAGCTAAGGGCAGATGGGTTCTAGAAAGTAAATGCTACATGAATTATCTTCCCTTACTGATGATGGCCGCAGCAGGGGGTCTCCAAACTGCTGGTGGGTGTAGAAAATGCCCCAACATCAGTATTCTATCATTGGTTTTAATGGGCTAAATAGTGCCCCCCCAGGTCACTGGTGTCAGTGGGGGGAATAGTGCCCCTCCGCCGCACTGGTGTCAGTGGGGGGAATAGTGCCCCCCTCTCCAGGGGCGTATTTACCACAAAGCAAGCAAGGCACTTGCCTAGGGCGGCATTTTTCAGGGGGGCAGCACCGCCCCCCAGAAGAAGGGATGGAAGAAGGGACATTGCACACCATGAGGACCAGGTGGGATCCGAGAGAGGCTGCTTTATGGTGTATGTAGAGCCTAACTCTCGTTCCCAGGAATGTCCAGAGCTGTGAAGATGGGCATCTTTCTCTATCGCCCCATCGGGGGGGGGGGGTATTGGAAGGTCTTCCCAGGTGGAGGGCAAGGGTGTTTTTGGTCAATTTAAGGCTCTCTCCATGGGAGAGGGTAGACGATTTTTGTGTTGCCTAGGGCAGCACAAAACCGAAATACACCACTGCCCCCTCACTGGTGTCAGTGGGAGAAATAGGGCCCCATTGCTGGTATCAATGGGCCCCATTGCTGGTATCAATGGGCCCCATTGCTGGTATCAATGGGCCCATTGCTGGTTGTCAGTAGCAGGAATTATGGCCTATTGTTGGTGTCAGTGGGGGAGGAATAGTGCCCCATCATTGGTATCAGTGGGAGGAATAGTGCCCCATCATTGGTGTCAGTGGGAGGAATAGTGCCCCATCATTGGTGTCAGTGGGAGGAATAGTGCCCATCATTGGTGTCAGTGGGAGGAATAGTGCCCCATCATTGGTGTCAGTGGGAGGAATAGTGCCCCATCATTGGTGTCAGTGGGAGGAATAGCGCCCCATCATTGGTGTCAGTGGGAGGAATAGCGCCCCATCATTGGTGTCAGTGGGAGGAATAGCGCCCCATCATTGGTGTCAGTGGGAGGAATAGTGTCCCATCATTGGTGTCAGTGGGAGGAATAGTGTCCCATCATTGGTGTCAGGGGGAGGAATAGTGCCCCATCATTGGTGTCAGTGGGAGGAATAGTGCCCCATCATTGGTGTCAGTGGGAGGAATAGTGCCCCATCATTGGTATCAGTGGGAGGAATAGTGCCCCATCATTGGTGTCAGTGGGAGGAATAGTGTCCCATCATTGGTGTCAGTGGGAGGAATAGTGCTTCAAGGGCCGGATAAAAGCAAGCAAAGGGCCGCGTAGGTGACGTTTGCTCTACAACGTATCATACAGTGGATCCTATTGGCTGCCACTCATGGCTGGTATGTAAATATCACCCCCACAATGGGTCATCCATGCGGCAGCAGAAACCCGAGTTGATTCAGAATGACTGAAAACCATCAATCACGTCATCAGCGGTGGTCACACGTTCATATACTACACTTGGCTGGCGCCCTCGGCCATTTAAAGGAAAGAGAGGGCGCCAACCAAGTGCAATATATAG